ACCAGCCGGGTGCCGTTGAGCTCGTCGTCGACCTCGCACATCTCGACCGCCATCGGCTGTCCGCTGGCGTCGAGCGGCACATAGTCGAGGCCCTGGCTGATGGCCTGCAGCGCGTCGTCAAACGCCTGCGCCATCACCTCGACGCTCGAGGATCCGGGCTTGCGCATCGACGCCAGGCTGCGGCCCGAGGGCGCCGAGCTGAGCGTCGACCTCGCGCTGAGGCGCGGCGCCAGCTCCTGCGTCGGCGGCTGGCTGTCGATGCCGTCCTCGGACCCTTGCCGCTGCAGCGCTCCTCTGCTGCTCTGCGCCGAGCCCATACCAGCCACGAGCCTCGCCTTTTGCTGCAGCAGCCGCTTCTCGCTGTCCTCGTAGCCGGCGCCTCCGCGGGATGCTGCCGATGTGGTGGCCGCCGGTGCGGCGGTCCGCGGGTACGCCGAGGCCCGTGCACCCACGCCTTGCGGCGGCGCCATCATCATCGCCGAGGGCCCCGCGTTCTCCTTGTCGGCCTTGGCCGAGATGGCGGCGTCGGACTGCTGCCGGCTGAGGGCGAGGTTGCCGAGCTGGCGGGCGAGCGACGTGGTCGAGTTGCGCTTGGCCATCGACCCGAACGTGTTCTGCAGCGGCGGCGCCTTGACGAGCGGCTGGCGTCCGGCCTTGAGCAGCGCCGAAATGGGGCTGCCCGGCTCGATGGCCTTTTGGAACTCGCGATCCATCCTCTCGCGGTTCTCCTCTGCCTCCTCCTGCATCCGCAGCTCGTCGCGCAGGCCCTTGCGCTCCGCCGGCGCCTCGTCGGCCAGCATCTCGATGGCCTCTTCGCCGTCCTCGGCGAGCTCGTCGAGCTCCTTGTCGGCGTCCGGGTTCCACTGCGCCTGCTGCTTGAGCAGCTCAAAGTTGCGCAGGCTCTCCTGCTGCGACAGCGGCGGCAGGAAGGGGGCCCCCTTGGTGGCCGTGGCGGGGATGTAGAGCGGCACCGGCCCGCACCGGAACCACGGGTGGTTCATGATCTCGACGAGCGTGGGCCGCTCGGCGGGGTTGTGGGTGAGGATGTTGGTGATGAGCTCCTGGGCCTCGAGCGAGACGCGCGCCTCATCGGGGATCTCGTAGTCGTTTTTCTTGATCCGCTCGTAGATCTCGGTGACGTTGTTGGTCTGGAACGGCGGCTTGCCCACCAGCAGCGTATACAGGATGACGCCGACCGACCACACGTCGACCTCGAAGCTGTGGCCCTCGCCCTGGTCGTAGAGGACCTCGGGCGCGATGTAGTTGGGCGTCCCGCAGACGGTCCTGGCGGGCGGCGGGCGGAGGAGAGCGGCGGAGACAGGGTCAGCTCTCGGTGCGAGATTGGTCGCCGGCTGGTCCGCGTCTTCTGCCCCGCGCGATCCATGCACTCACTTTTTCCGCTCCTCGGGATACTTGAGCAGCGCGGCGAGGCCAAAGTCGCCGATCTTGACATTCATCTTTTCGTCCAGCATGATGTTGCCGAGTTTGAGGTCGCGGTGGATGATCGAGTTTTGGTGCATGTTCTGGCAGCCGCAGAGGATCTGGGTCATGAGGTAGCGCGCCTCTGGCTCGGTGAAGGCGCCTCGCCTCTTGACAATGTCGTTGAGGCTCTGCGGGAGGGCAGCATTGAGAGAGGGAGAAAAGGAGGTGCGGGTCGGTAAGTGCCTGAAGCTGCTGTCTGGCGGGATCTGGCGCTGATAGCGACGGAAGGCGGCTTCTCACCCCATTGCTGCAGAGCTCGAGGCGGAAGTAGACATTCTCATCGTCCTCAAACGTGTCTTCGAACTTGATGACGTGGATGTGGTCGAGCGACTTGTGGATCATGATCTCGGCGAGGATCTGCAGGCAGGAAGTATGAGGAGGGGGCAGGGCTGGCAGGGTCAGCCGGACGGTTCGCATGCGCCGAGTCGAGAGTGGCTGCGCTGCTCACCTTCTGGCGATTCTTTTTCGACTTCATGATGGCGCTCTTGGCGATGACCTTGAACGCTTTGGAGCGGCCCTCTGGGTCGACTGCCTCGTAGACGCGGGCGAAGCCGCCCTGACCGAGGAGATGCCCGGTCTGGTAGGCCCTGTTGTCCGAGTCGATGATGACGCGCGGCGGGCTGGGCAGCTGGGGCTTCTTTGCCTTTCGCTTGGGCGCCTCTGCCTCTGCGGCGGCTGGCTTTGCGGCGGTAGCGGCGACTGCGACAGGGGGCTGCTGCTGCTGCTGTTGGAGCTGTCGCCGGCGGTCGTTTGTGTAGAGTTCCGAGGGTGCGAGTGGCCCCCTGTTGTGTGCCGGGTAGGCGGCGCCCTGGCGAGCCGAGGGGGCGGTTGCGCCGTAGCGCGGGAAGGGCTCCATCTGCATAGGCGAAGGTGCGAGGGGGTCAAACTGTGCGGTGGCGGCCTCTGCGGTGGTTCTCGAGTAGGTTGCGATGCTGCGCGACGAGGTCGGGTTGAAGGCTGCGCTGGGCTTGCGGAGGTGTGCGGCGAGTGCGCTGGGCGAGGGGTCCAAGGGGAGCTGGTTGAGCGCGCGCGAGGTGGTGGGCGAGAGTGGCGCGCGGGCGTGGCTTGATGGGTAGTGGGGGTTGGCCGAGGAAGCGGGAAAGGGGATGGGATCTACGGGGAGGTGAGCGATGGGAGGGGCCGCAGTCATGCTATTGTCGAGGGTTGGAGCGGGGGGATGAGGACGAAGACGAGGACGAGGACGGGGACGATGAGTGGACGGGCATGCAGCGGCGACGATCCGTGTCAAGGGGAAGGCGGTGTTGAGGGTTGCAGAGGGACGGGGAAGGGATGCCTTGGATGTGATGACGAGGAGGGGATGGAAGGTCTTGAAGCGGGGCGTGGTGGTGGTGTCGGTGGTGGTGGTGGCAGGCAGGCAGGCAGGGATGGAGCCGAGCGGTTGGCCAGAGTAGTGTGTCGTCGAGCAAGCTGCTGCCAAGCCGCGAGGTCGAGAGTCGAGTTGCGTGGTGGGCGCGACAAGAGAGAGAGAG